GCACCAGTGTCCACTAGAGCCTTATACTCCTGTGGCTCAGATGTGCCAGGCCATCGAATCCACACAGTCCAATAAACCCGGTTGTCCCTTTCCCCCACCTGGCTGGAGGCAGGGCCCCTCTAATCGTGATCATAGTATCCATTACTCACTTCATGCAGAAATGACTTGGAGGTCCCTTCAAGAGGATCAGAGGCGAGATCAAGCCTTCCACTTTGTCTGGGGAGCTGTCTCCTGGACACGGGAGCAGCACTTTTCCTGGAGGGATCACCTTTTGTGATTGTTCTCCCTTGCACCTCATGTACCCGTGCCTGTAGGGTCGAGATAGGTTGTCCATCCCACGTCCTCATGTCCTCTCCGTGGTCACGCAGGTAAAACCACAGGGTGCCTCGTGGTGTGTATGCCCTGTACTCTCCCTCTTGAGCAGGGAAATGCCTCCTCCTGATAGCTGAGATGGTGGCCTGTACAGGTTAGGAGTAGGACATACTCTCTTCAAGTTGCTGGATCTTCTGGGACAATTTCTCAACAGCTGAGACAAGGGGGGAAGAGAGACACCGGGATTGGAGTAGCTGCCTTGTCTGCCACTGGGATTGGAGTAGCTGCATTATCTGCCAATCTAATTTCCTCCTCTTTCCCCTGAGTGTCCTGCAGAGTACTGAGCAGTGTTTGGTAGATACTGGCCAGGGCTCAGCACAGTGCAGTAGGTTGTGCCTCTCGGGATTAGCCACAGCATTTTCCTTTCAAATATTCTATCGCTTTATCAGGGTCCTGTAGTTGTTTGAGGGTGAAGTCCCACACCATTGGAGGTGAGAAATTCTCTAGATACCTGCCCATATTCTCCCACATGCCATGCCACCCCTGACTATCCAGCCTTGGGGCAGATCTCTGGGTGGTAGTCTTAAACAGTTGCTTAACCCTAAACAAGATCTGAAAAACATTCAGGAGGCATAGCAACAGGCACATGCTGGTTTGAGTATCCCAAGGATTTTCGAAATTCTCAAGAGGTGTCATATCTGGCCCAAAGGAGAAAAGGGAGGCAAAAGAGCTGGGGAAAGTATCTCCCCCTGTTTCTCTCATAGATTGGGTGATATTATTAATAACTTCTGAGAGATGGTAACCAAGGTATGGACAAGACAGCAATACTGCATAGACACCCCAACAAAGCCACTTCAATAGTGATGTTATATCATAATCTGATATTGGACGTGACAGCAAAATTATAGCCCTGATCCCTCTCCCCGAGATAACAAACAGCATCACGGGCAGTACATAGAGCATATAAGAATTTACAAAACACAGCCATGCAAACAAACGAAGTAACATTGTAACCGGCAACTATCTAACCAATATGGGAAATGGATACAAGAAATTAATTATTGCAACTCTTCGAGCCCCACGTTGGGCGCCAAAAAGGACTGCTGTGGTTTGGCCTCAGCCAGCAACAAAGAACCACACAGCCGCTCGCTCCATTCCCACAGCTGTGGAAATAGAAATCGATAGGGCAAAACTCGTGGGTTAAAATAATTCAATTCAACAGAACAGCAAAAGGGAAGATGAAAACGCGATTACAGTACCGTGGGAAATGTACCGACCAGGCCAGCACCACCGCAGTCCACCCCCAAGTGGCAACTGCTCTACTTCCCCTGGCTAGCTCCTCTTACAGCCCGGGCATGGGTCAGGTGGCATGGAATACCTGCCCCCTGCCGGTTCCTGGGGGAAATTATCCCCATTCCTGCCGGAACCAGGACAATGCAGTGTTTGTGTTCTTTGTATTCTTCTGTGGTGCTTTTCATTGTGATTTGGCTTAAACTTAGCTGAGCTTAATCTTCTATGATTAGAAGATTCTAATCATAATCAGTTAGGTTAATGATGTCTTTATAATAATGTATAATCAATATGATGCAATTTTCTTCAAAGGCATGACCAAGGTTAAAGTAGGCAAGGAAGATTCTTCATCTGCTGAATTTATAGAAAAAAGAAGAGCAGCATTAGAAAGGTAATGTATGTATCTAACTAAAATTTGTTTAGCATCAAAATGAATTTTAATATAGTACATGGGTTCTGTAACTGGCATCTGGACCATCTGTACTTAGGTACAGAGAGCGCATACTGCTGGCTCATGTCCGGCTTTTCATCCACCAGTACCCCCAAGTCCTTCTTGGTAGGGCTACTCTCAATCCCTTCATCCCCCAGGCTGTATTGATACTCGGGGTTTCCCCGACCATTTTGATGTAAGAGATAGCAGTTCACTGTTACCCAGCACTGGCATACAACTAGTATTGTTCAAATGCCTTTGCTATGGAAGGGTGTCACAGAAGAGTCAGAGATTGCTTATCTCGTAGTTAGTTTACTGAGTTCTAATCAGTAAATATAGGTACGTAAAATATTTAATAAGTACAGATGGATTGGCGGTCAATACTCTACTATTTAGTACACTTAAAGTTAGTATGGGATACAAAGATAATCATGTAAGCTTACTGTACATATCTAAATCTTACATGCATGCAAAAAATGTCACTTACCAACCCATAGATGCCTGGTGTCAGGTAAGAGATCTCTCAGCCTCGAGGGGTAACCTTGAGAGGCGTCCCTACTCAATGGGAGATCACTGCCTCACAGCCAGCTCCTATGGAGGGAGAGCTCAACGGACCCTGATGGCTGCAGATATTTATAGCATAAAGTGGTTGACTCGCAGTCAGGTTTTCTGTAGTGTTCGTGCAGTTTCTACAGCTTATGAGCCCAGTCTCCAGCTAAACTGTTTTGTTTTTTTTGTTTTGGTGCTGGGTTCTCGCTGATAGCCTTGCACAATAGGATTCACTTTGGTTGGGCCTGCCTGTTGAGCATCTGCCTGGACCAAAGTTCAGTTAGTTCAAACAGGAGGAGTGCACCCGTCACAAAGGGTACTGTCACTGATGTGCTGCATAATCCCTTCCTGTTGACATGGCTGGTAAAGCCTTTCGAAAGTACCTAGTAAAACTTCTATAACTTATGTTCACATACAGCTGAGTCAAGTATACAGACATAATTTTGGTACAATCTTATAATATGATGTCATGGTTTGGGCTGGACTGACCACTGAGATGAATGACAGATGCTCTCCCCCACCTCTCTCTCCGAGGAGAGGAGGGAGAGAGAGAGAGACTTATGAGTTTAGAAAGAAATAAACAACTTAAATGAAATATTAATAATAAAAAGGAAATAATGCAGGAATGCACAGATCGGGATCGAAGGCAGATGAACAGACAGAGTCTTCCTCAGACGTTGGCCATTGAAGAAAGAGAGCGAGTTGACGCTTTGATCCCTCAGCTTTTATACTGAACATGAGGCAGATGGGATAGAATACCCCACTGGTCAGTTTTGAGTCACCTGTCCTGTCTGCTTCTCCCTGCAGGTGGTACCCCACTATGCTTTTCCACTTCCGACCCTCTAACGGGGCAAATAACAAATTTAGGTGACCTTAGTTTTTATAGCAATTACTTGGCATAAATTATAAACAATCAGGTTTTATTAGTCTGGGAGCGAACAGTGTCTAGGCAATATGCTGTTAAGTTCAGAGACTTCAGTTAGAAGAGGCTTAGCTGGAAAGTAAAATTACTGAACAGAGAATTGGTTCTGTTTTACCTCAAACCAGGACATTCCATGCCTTATTCCATACCATTTGCATCTTACTAATATCACTATTACTTTTTATCTATCAAATCTATGCACATATATATATACATACACACAGGTCACTCAGTTATGATTTATTTTTACATAGAAAAGTTTGTTAAGTCTATTTAGTTCATAATTGCAGGATTTCACCTATCATGGCAGTCTCTCAGGGCAGGAAAGATGGTATGAAATTCATCCTGGTTCGTGCCCACAAGTAGCATATCTACCTCAAAGAGTTTTCTAGACGCCACTTGATGAAGCTAGCTCAGGTTTCATCACCACTATGTTATCCTGAAAAACACTTATAGAACACTGTATTATGTAGTGATCAGCATCATACAGCTCAGGACTGAGTATTCTCACCCAGGGTTAAATTCCCTTGAGGTACACATTTAACTTCTCCATCCTTCAGCATCACCCACCAAGTACATCCAGGTCCTTGAGCAAAAACAGTCCCACGAATGGGTTTGCCTTTGCCTGAAGCAGGAAAAACCCAAACAGTTTTCCCTAACAAATTCCTTTCATGCACCACAGGGACTTTATCCCCTCCTACAGTATATAAAAGGTCTGACCGAGCAGGACCAGCTCAATCGATCCCCTGGTGTTAACGAACTGGGTGGCTTGTGCTAAATGCTTGTCCCTATTTTTAAAACTTCCACCCCCCCATTGCTTTCGGCGTAGTTTTTAACAGTCCAATGTATTGCTCAATTTTCCCAGAAGCTGGTACATGATAGGGGATATGATATATCCACTCAATGCCATGTTCTTTTGCCCAATTACCTATAAGATTGTTTTTAAAATGAATCCTATTGTCTTGACTCAATTCTCTCTGGAGTGCCATGTCGCCACAAGACTTGCTTTTCAAGGCCCACAATGGTATTCCAGGCTATGGCATGAGGTAAGGCATAGGTTTCCAACCATCCGGTGCTTGCTTCCACCATTGTAAGCACATAGCGCTTACCCTGGCGGGTTTGAGGGCGTGTGATATAGTCAATTTGCCAAGCCTCCCCATACTTATATTTCAGCCATCATCCCCCATACCACAAAGGTTTTAACTGCTTAGCTTGCTTGATTTCATCGCATGTTTCACAATTGTGGATGCAACAGCATCCTTTGTTAAACCCACCCCTCCATCATGGGCTCATTTATATGTTGGATCCCTTCCTTGATGACCTGAAGTGTCATGGGCCCAGCGAGCTAAGAATAGTTCACCTTTATGTTCCCAGTCCAAGTCTGTCTGGAAAATCTTAGCAGCCTGGTCCACTTGCTGATTGTTTTGATGTTCCTCAGTGGCCCGACTCATGGGTACGTGGGCATCTACATGTCGTACTTTGACGACTAGTTTCCCTAGCCAGTCAGCAACATATTGCTGCAGTTCAGCAGCCCAGATGGGTTTACTTCTGTGCTGCCAGTTGCTCTGCTTCCATTGCTTTAACCACCCCCACAGAGCATTTGCCACCATCCATGAGTCAATGTAGAGGTAGAGTATTGGCCACTTTTCTCGTTCAGCAACATCTAAAGCCAGCTGGATGGCTTTTACCTCTGCA